AAATTGATCTACTTTAAATGCCACTTACTACACCGAGCAAAAGGGTCTTGGCCATCATCAACCAACATCTTATAGTCCTAAAATCATTGTAAAAGAAACTGTCAATAAAGATGTCATCATCTTCTTCAAACTGCAGAGCTGGAAGGGACCCTATCATCAGGGAGTCCAGCCCTGTCAAGGAGGCCCAACTCTCAACCAGATGCCTATAGACCTGAGCTATCCAGCAGTTCATCTGACTTTCCACAAAGTATTTCTAAGCTCTGGAAGTGTGTGTTTGTGTGTGTGTGTGTGTGTGTGTGTGTTTGTGTGTGTGTGTGAAAGAGAGAGAGAGAGAGAGGAGTGTGCATGCATGCATGCATGCATGCATGCATGTATGTGTGTATGCATGCACACAGACCTGAGGAAATTACGGAACTGACTGAGACGTGTGTATGCACGCACATAGACCTGAGGAAATTACGGAACTGACTGAGCGTTCCAGCACCATGCGGAAGTGGTCTTTCTGTGGGATGAGGAAAAAGTCTTTCCTCAGACAGAAGGATATTATTATTCTCTCAGACACAGGCAAGGGTCTGGTTCTGAAACAATGCGAGAGTATTAAAAATCAAAGCCTGGTAAATTTATGCCACGCTTGACAGAGTTATTAGCTCTTCTGTAAGTCATTGCTGGCTGCCATTAATGCACTATGAGGAGGTAATTGTGCGTTTTGCCGAGGGTGGGGGGGTATCTTTTATTTAAATACTGTCCAGATGGTGTGATGAAACTTTAATAGACCGGAGCGAAGCCAAGGGGGAGGTTGGCTGAATTACTGAACCGCAAGCGGATGGCACAAAACTGGTACTGGGTTCAGAGAAGGGCAAACGGGAAAATGGGGGGTCGGGGCAAACTCCTCTTCTCTGGGCCAGTGGGAGCTCTCGGATGGGTCAGAGGATTTAAATGACAGACGGCACCACTAGCGGGCGTTTTTAGAAGAAGAGGCGCCGTTCTTCCATGCACAAAGGTGTGAAAGTCAACAAGCAGACCGTCTGGACCGCTATCCCCATTGGCCTGCTAAATCCATGCCTCACGTTTCCTTTTTTTCTCGGGGCTATTGAAATACACACACAAACACACACACAAGCCTTGAGGGTTTTTCCCCCCCTGTGCTTGTGTTGCTGTGATTTGTGCCTTTGTGAAAGGGAGGAGGCCTGGGGTTCCCAGATCCAGACGGTTGTGGGCGTATTGTTTACTGTCAGTCTGAAGATAATAGGGCGAGAAAACAAGGTGTAGGGAACTCAGGGAAATGGAGTGTACAGAAGATTGTGCGCATCTATTCAACGGCTGGGCATGACATTTAATCAGTGCTAGATCTGTGAAAGCGCTGGGTTTTCTCCCAAGAAGCACAGCAGAGAATCAAGGTTCCTAACCTCTGCCTCCATGGTCAGCTACCCGGGGCTGTGCTCTGTTAAAAAATTTCTGAACTTCATTTCCCTAGAATTTTCCAAGATGTCTGGGAATCGCATCCCAGATTCCCAAATCGGAACATGTGGAGGTTCCCACTAGAGATGGGAATGAACCCGGAAAATGGTGGTTCACGATGGCGCGAACCATGACGAACTCTTGAAAAATGGTTTGTCGTTCTTTTTTGGGGGGGAGTTCGTATTGGGGGAGACTGACGGCCGGCCCACCCTCTTCCCACTGCCCCCTTGATTCCCTATTTGGTCCTGCCTCTGCTGCTTTCTCTGTCACGGCCACTGTGGCTTCCCTTCCAAGGGTTCAGCGCGCTTCCTTCGCGCATGCGCACGAGATTCGGCTGATAGGCAGCGGGAAGGGGGCAGGCAGGCGTCCGTCGTGCCGAAGCAAAATGAAGTGCCAAGGGGGAAAAAAAAAGTTCTGCACTTCATTTTCCTTCGGCAAAACAGGACGCCCCCAACTGGATCGCGTACCGAACCACGAACCAGCCTGATCCGTTGGTTTTCGTGATTCAGTTCGTGCACATCTCTAGTCTCTGCCCCTGCAGAGAGGGGCCTCCCTGTTTCCTGTTATCAATTTCTTGTTTTTAAAAAAAGGGGAAGCTGCCACGCTGCTTCCTGGGAATAGTAGTTCTCTGGGAGGCACCCTCTGCAGAGCCTAATGGTGAATGAGGCCACATTTCCGGGAATCATGGCTGTAGCCTCCTCTCTTTTTTTTTCTAACGAAAGACGATTATTTTATTTATCCATCTAAAATATTTTTACCCCACCTATCTCCTTAAAAGGTCCCAAGGCGGCTTGCATTAATGAAAGACAATATTACAGCTAAAAACAGTGAGTATTCAAATACTAAAAAGAACACCATACAAAAAACATAAGCAAACCAAAACACACTCAAAGCAGTAAGTTACAACAACTGATTTAGGAAACCCCACTCAGGCAGCCAGTCAATCAGAGAAAGCTTGCTTGAAGAGAAAGGTATCTGCCTGCTTGCGGAAGGACAACAAAGATGGGGCCAGTTGGCCCTCCAGTGGGAGGGAGTTCCAAAGTCTGGGAGCAGCCACAGAGAAGGCCCTCTCCTGGATTCCCACCAAATGCACCTGTGAAAGTGGCAGGACTGAGAGAAAGGCCCCTGAAGATGATCTTGACACTCAAGCAGGTTCATACTGCGAGACACGGCCCATGAGACAGCTTGGGCCCAAGCCATTTCGGGCTTTATAGGTTAGAACCAATATCTTGAATTCAGCCCGGGAATGGAGTGGCAGCCAGTGGAGCTGCTGTACTGGGTCATATGATCCCTGTAACTAGTCCCCGTTGCTGCATTTTGGACTTGCTGAAGTTTCCTGACACTTCCCATAGGCAGCTCCACACACAGAGCATCATAATAATCCAGCCAAACCCACAAAAGAACCTACCCCAACAAGTTACATGACTCACTGAGCTATCCAGCCATCTACTGCTCACGTGACACCCGCAAAAACAACATGCATCATCGAACGAGAAGACAAAAGAAGATACTGATTTGCATAAAATTGCCGGTGATAATTCATATGCATAGAGGCAAAGTCAGAAGCGATGTATCTAATTTAAACAAAATTATGGTGCACCTCCTCTGAAGGGAGGAGATTTTGACCAGTTGACCTGTTTGCTAAGGCTGTTGTCCAGGTATGGCTAATTATGGATGGGTAATTACATGGTTAGGGATCCCCCTTCTTCTGGTTCTCCACCATTAAATTCAGTTTGGATGGGAAACGGTTTCTAACAGTAGGCATCTTCTTTAAAAAGGTTGTTCTCTGGGAACCCTTCGAAAGACAATCAAAGAGGACATGTGGCCACCCAAGGATGGGTTGCATCAGCCATATGCCAAGGACCAAGAAGAAGCTTGGAGGGTGCTTCTCAGGCAGTGCAAGGTGGCCTGCCAAGGGAAATATGTTGGTATGTCTCTACACCACTCAATAATCTGGCTGCCATATTCTATACCTGCTAAAGTTTTCATAGCAGCTTCAAAGGCAGCACCACATAGAGAGCAACGCCATAGTCTAATCGTGAGACTACCAATGCATGGACCAGTGTGATGAGGGACCCAGTGTCAAGGTAGGGATGTAGCTGGGCAATCCACCTTAGATGGAAATACTAGGCAGAGCGGACCACAGACGCTATCTGGGACACCATTAATAGTGCTGGGTCTAGAGGTACACCCAAGCTGCAAACCTCATCCTTAGTGGAGAGAGTGCCCCTCCAAAGGAGAGGGAGACCCCAATCTGCAAACACTAGGGGAACCCACCCACAGGACTTCTGACTTGATTGGGTTCAGCCTCAGTCTATTATCCCTCATCCAGTGAGCACAGTGTCCAGGCAGCGCTCAAGGGATGGAAGGAGAGAGAGATGGGTGTCATCCAAATATTGGTGACACCAAGCTTTGATATACCTGATGACCTCCCCCCAGCGGTGTCATATAGACATTAAACAGCATTGGGGAGATGATCGACCCTCCGCAATTGAAAGTCCAAGGGGTGGACCTCATCTCCCCAGGCTGCACTCTCTGAGGATGGTCTTCTAGGAAGGACCGGAGCCAGGCCATTGATCTCTAACCCAGAGAACCTCTCCAGAAGGATACCCTGGTCAACAATATTGAAGGCTGCTGACAAGTCAAGGAGGACCAACAAGGTCATTCTTGAGCTTGTCAGTCTCCTTCAAAAGGTCATCTTGCAGGCTGACCAATGCCATTTCCATGCCATGCGGTGGCCTGAACTCAGACTGGAATGGTTCAAAGGCATAGGAGTGCCTATAGGAGGGTTGTTTTTTTTACAAGGGGTTTTGTCTTGCAAAAAAAAGGCAATTTGTATTTTTGTGCAAAATGATTCATTTTGCACCATTTTTTAAAACATTACAATTTAAGGTGTTCAGTTTTCTTTGTGCGTGCAAAACTTGCTTCTTCTTCTTCTTCTTTGCTTATGTTGCAGCTGAAGGGTTGGCTTTTTACTCTCATAAGAAGTGAAAAATCCCCCCATGGTTTAGGATTTGGGAGGTTTTTTTTTTACTTGGTATCTCAATGCGTCTTCGCGAGGACACGAAAAATTGTTCAAGTGGGACTTGAACATTCCTTGTTGATGTGACTCATCATGCTGAGATACCCTAAACAACTGATTCCCAACCTTGGGTCCCTAGATGTTCTTGGACAAAAACTCCCAGAAGCCTTCACCGCAAGTGGTTCTGGTTAGGATTTCTGGGAGTTGTTAGTTCAAGAACATCTGGGGGCCCAAGGCTGGGACCCAATGTGTTACATCCTTGGTAACACAGCACAGGAAATCTAAGTACTTCATCAAACTTCAACCCCCTAGGATTGGACAGGGGAAAAAACTATGGCACTTAGGAGGGGCAGATAGACTCCTAGTAAGCTGAAAGTTGGAGGAAGCTTTTAAATAGCTGAAAATCCTGGCAGTGCATATCAATAAATCAATTGGGAAGGCCTGTCGTGCTATCCAAATGGGAGATACGCATCCTCATACATCTCACATGCCTCTGCTTTGGTTCAAAGGAGAAACTCACCTTAGTGTTGCATTGTCCCCTTGACAAACTGTGTAATTGTCAGCTGGCTGATTAAAATCCGCACCCCGAACCAGTAGCCCTGGACAATGAAAAAGATGCAAAAGGAGAATGCAGTTAAGAGTTGGACCACTGAACTATCTTCATGAGATGGGAAAAAAATAAAATATATTTTTGTTATAGAAATCCAGTTTTTCATCAGACCAACTGAAGTCGATGGAGAAGGATGCAAGCTTTTGGAGTTAACAAAACAAATCCTTTGCTATTTGGGTTAACATCTGTCTAGTGAAGAGTTCTGTGGAATTCAAAAGTGACACAGTTCCGCATCAATAAAGATGGCCTTCACAAAATTACTGAGCTTTTTTTCCCCATGTGAATCATGCCTTTGCATAATGTTACTCTAAAATATGCATTTTACTTTAGGTGCACAATTTACCCTAAATATGCATTTAGTAAGCCTTTTTAACCTAAGAATAAATGTTTCTATACATATTTTTTTCCAAAAATACACATTTCAATGCATTTATTGCACACATTCCATCTGAAAATGTATATTTACAGGGTTTTACCATGAAACACATAGTTCTTTGAGGACTTTACTTAAAAATCCACATTTTAATCAATTCATGGAACCAAAATTTGGTTTTGCAAAGTTTGGTAATGCAAATACTAAAGGTTCGCTGAGTTTTAATCATTGTACTAATCTGATCAGTAAATCTATAAATATGGACCAAATGAAATCTGGCAACTTGAACTCTAATGGTCACTTCTCAGATGCCTTGTGAAACTCAAATACAGGACATTAAGACAACAGCTGGTTGCTTGCCCCCAGTATCTATTTGCCAGAGGTATTGTGCTATTGAATGAGGAGGTTCCATTTATACTTATAATTGCATTGCTTATCTATTCCCAAACAGGCTTTAAGCACTATGATTGGAGGATTTCTAAGCAGTATACTATGATAATAAAACATATAACATAGAAAATGCAAAAAAATTAAAATGTAATCTATAGGCACACAAGACTAAGATTTATGACATGGCTTTCTTAGTGGTGGTGCCAGCTTCCCTCTGTCAGAGATCCAAGAGTCTCCCATGCTTTTGCCTTGTGCATAAACCAACTAACCAACCAACCAACCAACCAACCAACCAACCAACCAACCAACCAACCAACCAACCAACCAACCACTCTATCCTTATACAGAAAACTATTTTATTATTATTTATAAGCATTTTATTTCTCATTGCTGCTTGTCCGTATGATTTTCTTGGACTCTAACTAGCATTTTCAGTCTGTGATTTTAGAGCGCTGCAATTTTGAGTTATTTGCAATTTGTGATTTGAACTGTGCACTTGTACGTGGATTTGTTAGCCCACCTGGGCTGTCATGAGGGAGGACAATACATAAGTAGAACTGACAACCAAACAACCATACAACGCAACATAATGACAACAACATTAATATTTATGTTTTCCATGAAATAGATGGCTTGTCGGACGATGCGGGAAAAGCTCGCAAAGGTAGGTAAGCTTTCAACTCTTGTTAAAAACAGAAGCTGTTCGAGCGTGTTGAATATCGGAGGGAAGAGGTAGAAACCATAATGCTGAATGTCCTGCTTTGAATGGACACTGAGAGGGTCTGAAAAACGCGTGGCATCACCAAAAGCAGACAAAAGCCTGATTTTCTTAAGGAAACCATAGCATTCAAAACTGCCTTGTGAGATTTTCTCAGACCATGCTTCTCCATTTTCCATGCCAGAGGAGGCCAGGAGAACATCCACTAGATGTTGGGCCTTTTCGGTCGTGGCACCAAAACTATGGAAACATCTCCTGGTCAAGCTGCACCTGGCTCTCTCCCTACCCATTTTCAAGAGGCTGCTTTAGACGTGGCTCTTCATAGAGGCCTTTGATAGCATCCTTGGTTCAATCTCATCTGCTGCCTGCCCTGCCAGGGTATATTATGGGCAACGTTCATGTCATCACAACTCTGTGTACTCAGCTGAGAATATCGTTCTTAATTTACATCAGTCAATCAGTCAGTGAGTCAGAATCTTTGATGGCATACATTAAAAATCACACCTAGAAGATATGATCTTTCATTTGATTTCACACTATGTCTCTTTGATTGCTGTTGTCTGTTAACAATCCAGAATAGTGCTTTGCACCGGATGGGGCAGTATATAGATTTATTAAATAGATAAATAAATAATAGATCAAACTAGTGGGTATCCAATCCAACAATCACTAATCAGATGTGCCTTTTGGAAGGATCACAAACTGAGTGTTGTTCACCTCTCCTGAACCCGTCTCCAAGCAGCTGATTCTTACAGGTATGCCTCTGAACCTGGGGTCCCTATTGAGCAACCGCGATGGCTAATAGGTCTCCTAATGGCCTTTGCTTTGCTCAGAGTCTCTAAGATTCCACTTGCATTGGAAACAGGACCTCAGAGTCCCAGCGTTTAGTCTGTGATTTAAGTGCTGATCACATATACGGTCCATCCACAAGGACATTTTCTTGCCAGCTCCTATCGGGGCTGTTCAGAGAGAACGGGTGAAAGGAGATGACTCGAGGTACAAGCCTCTCCTCCTTTCTCTATGTGCACACAGTAGCACATGCGTACGCAGCCTCCACAGCCTGAGGGCTCATCAACAAGAATGTCTCTTCTGATTTGCTTCAGTTCTCTTGCCCTGTCAAAAAATCTACGAACTCCGTCTTTCAGTGACTTAACAACAGGAGGCGTAGAGGCTGGTAGGAGGAGCGCTGGGGGAAGATCAGGGAGGGAGGGGTGTAAAACTAAAAATGGATCATGAATGGTTTGGCCGTTAAGGAGGATCAGATCGTTGGTGCATATGCACAGCACAGTTGAGATTACTGTACAGTTGTGTACTGATATATTTTCACTGTTGGCATTGACCACCGTAGCTGTGATAGTTCGCCCAGGTTGGACCCCAAGGGATATCCAAAATGTGGTCAGCTGTATCAAGGCATATCAAGCAACCGGTTCAAGCAGTGGTCACATCCTAAGAACGAGTATTTTGTTTAGCTAATGGATCTTAATGGCCTATTCAAGGACAAGATGCCTTCCAAATTCTTTGCACTCTAATCAGAATAGCCTATGGATATATTTTGTTGCATTTAAGGGCAGATTATGTTACAAACAGGGAGGGGACATCTTATCCACAATGGGAAGGGCTGCCCTAACCACTGGCAGTCTAACGGGTGAAATCCAATAGGGTACTGCCAACTTGGGGACTGTGGCTAAGCTCAAAGGGAAGAAGGAACACCGAAATGTGTGGCAGATGACAAAATCAGGTCTTCTAATCAAAAAGGTCCTGGGATTTTGACCCTGTGAAGTCCAACACAATATTAACAACAAAAGATTGTAGAGACCCCATGAGTTGGCTGCTGTTTGGCTTGAATCAGTGGTTTTGCGAAATGTTTCAATGAAATGTCCAAATGCCTATGTTGGGGAGGGGGGCAGACGATTGGAAGGCAACCTCAAGATTTCAGAACCTGAAAGATTTGACAGCAGCAGGAGATAGAATTCACATGGCCAACACTTAGCAAGAGTAAGTCTATCCATTAACACAAGATTATAACTGTAACAGTGAAGCAGTTGACTCCGATGTTATGGGGGTTGGTGCATATGCTCTGGGTTTCAGTCTCCATGTGAAGGGGGATAGGACTCAGTTCCTTAGACAGCCCTGTTAAGGTTCAAGATGAGACCAGAGCAATTTGCCACCATTGCAATATCAGAATCAAGTCTCCTTCGGTTGGTGGCATTAGACACTGACTCGGTGTTCAGCCCATCTAGTCCACCTGACTGGTAGTAAAGACTCAGGCAAAGGTCTTCCCCATCACCTGGTTCGTTTCCCCCATTAGATATTGTGGGAATTGAATAATGAAGGATAGGTTAATGCAGCGGTCCCCAACCCTTGAGCTGCGGACCAGTATCGGTGTGTGGCCTTGGAAGGACTGGGCCGCCGGGACAGATGATTGTCGAGCAGGAGGTGAGCAGACAGCGAAGCTCCACCTCCTGTCAGTGTGCCCCTATAAGCACTCCTAATGCCGCTGATGATCTGATAGGAGGCGGAGCTTTGCTCCCCACTCCCCTCTTCCTCCTGCTGGATCAGCTGTGCCTGTGGCATTAGAATCTCATAGGAGCCTGAGCTCCTGTTAGGTTCTAAGCCGTTGCTGATCTAGCAGGCAGCGGAGTTTCCATTTTCACCTCCTGCTCCTGCTCGCCGTTCATTTGTCCCAGCCCAATACATGTAATGAGTTCGATTCAAGTTATCCTCCAACAACCTGCCGGAGTTTCCATTGCAGCTCACCTCCTGCTCCTGCTCGCCGCTCATTTGTCCCAGCCCAATATATGTAATGAATTCGATTCAAGTTATCCTCCAACAACCTGCTCCATAAGAAGTACCTCCACCCGGTCCTTGGGAGAATGGTCTTCAACTCAGCTTGAACCTGCTGTCAAGAAGGTTGGGGATCATTGAATTAATGTGTGGGCCTCTAGATGTTCTTTGATGAGGCCAGCCTAGCTGACCATGAAGGGCAGTGTTTCCCAACCTTGGGCCTCCAGATGTTCTTGGACTTCAACTCCCAGAAATCCTGGCCAGCAGAGGGGGTGGGGATGGCTTCTGGGAGTTGGAATCCCAGAACCTCTGGAGGCCCAAGGTTGGGGACCACTGATGAAGGGCACATGGTGTGCTACCTGCATCAACCAAATTGTCTTCAAGGGCAGCCCCACACAGAGTGCACTGCAGTAGTCTAAGGTTTTTGAGACTCAATCCTAGTATGATCATCGCTCCCATGGTCACTCTCCCTCTCTAAACCATGAAAGGAGCCCAGCCTCACTGCCAACTCAGCTATGAGCCTGACAGTGATAGACAGGCATCAAGAGCCGGGACAAATCTAAAGGTCAAAGCTGAGTCAGCGACTACGCAGTAGGGGGACCCAAGGGGCAGCACATTTACTATGGATTTATTTATTTATGTCGCTGAAAAAAGCTTTGAGTGATTTGCCTCCACTCCCCCATGGAGGGCAGGTCACTCGATCGGAGCTGCTGACGGGATCGGAGGGAGAGAAGGGAGGATGGCCACAGCCCATCCTTTCTGTCCCATTCATGACATCACTCGCTTTTATTCCACAATAATGAGGTGTCTGTGTGAGAGCCGAAAACAAATGTCTGTGCGTGCCATTCTCAAGCAAATTCTCTCCTCTAATTTGCCTGTGGTCACGGATTTTTCATTTGTTACGTCCTTTTCTCACCGTCTCTTATTCGGGGCAGTTCTCATATATCAAGGGCTAGGGATTGATGGCCAACATTTGCTAAGCGCCGTTTGCCATTTCAACAGACAGGAGCAGGAAAGAGAGGATCTGCAGAAGCTAGGAACATTGGGTGTGTGCATACAGGCCAGTGCGCATGTGCACTTGCCAAAATACACATGCGCAGCACATATCTGGCATGCACACAGACAAAGCAAGGCTTATGACCATGTGAGTCAGCCCACCCAGGGTCACAACTGGAACCAGCAGTTTCGGTGCCCGGGGCTTTCCTGTCCTGTTGGTTTAGCTCAGGGTCACATCAGATTGGCCCACGCACGGGGAGTGGATGCAGGAAGGGAGAGGAATGCCTGGGTCTGTCTCGATTTTGTATTGAGCCTGCCCACTTTGTGTTTGCTTCTCCCTGGAGAAGAGTGGCTGAAGTTCATAGCTGCACGCTTGCGAAAGGCAGGTTCATACACTTCCAGAAGGACATATCGACGGGTGCCCTGGGACCTTTTCAGCAGGAAATTTGTCCAGCCCTCTAAATTTCAGTGCCTTCGGTCAAAGCCCCAGATATCTCCACTGGGTTACCACTCCAGCTTGCACATGAGACCTGGGAACCCTAAGAGGCAAGCATCCTCTGCCTCTTGGATTTATGGAACCAGTGATGGATGGGGAACCGCAAATGTCCCAATTGTTACATAAGGGCTCCAACACTTGTGACATAGATACATCCTCATCCTCCTCTGACATCACAAAGCTCCTCCCACTTCCACAGGCTCAGGTTTTAGCCTTAACTTCTCCAGGAATGGGAAGCTGCAACTGTGCAATCCTACCACATAGTCAACTCTAAAGAGGACTGTGACGTCATCATGTACGTGACGTGATCTGCAACAGAGATGGCACGTGATTAATTTGGAATCTGACTCAACAGTAGCCAGTGGGACACAGAATCAAACAAACTACCTTTCCAAAATCATCATCAGTGTCATGATCCTCTTCCTTTTCACCATCTACTTCTTTCCTCATACCTTCAGAAAAACGTTCCCTTTACCAAAATCGCTGCTTACGAAGCCAGCATCAAAAGCAAAAAAAATATTTGATGCTGTAGCACTAATCCATTTGCGTGATAGTCTGAACATCTCCAGCATCCCTCTTATTTAAACCTGACTTAAACAGCACAACTCGTTTGTGTGTGTGTGTGAGGCTGTGCACGGGCACTTATTTGCCTGCCGGTCACAATAGCTGCTTGACCTTGCTGGTTCGTTCAATCTGCCCACAGATCAGCGGCACGGTGTGTCTCTGTCTGTCTGTCTGTCTGTCTGTCTGCAGATGTGCGAGGGAGGCAGCCGAGGCCCTCTCGGTGAAGCGGTTGATTAAGATTCTGTCTGCCTGACGGATGGAGCCGGACATGAGCTTCAGAGGCAGACGGTTACTTTATATGCAGAAACAGGGAGACGGTGACGAGGGAAGAAAGAGGCTGGGGCACAGATCAATCACAGCCCGCACCAGCCCGGCCCGTTTTTTTCCTCAGCCATACCCCACAGGCCTCTGCTTCTCCCTGCTTTTCCTTCCCTCCCTCCATTCATACTAAGCTGGCGCCACTCCACCTCAGCATTCATGCTTCCCTGGACCACAAAGGCCATCAGAGGGCAGGTTCTTCCCCTCGTGTCCCACCTCATATCCCTCCACCTCAGACAACCCCCCCCTCCATCTCGGCTTGCAACGGGCAAATATCTAACTGACGGCTCCTGCCTCAATGTGCAACGTGGTGTTTACTTCATGTTCCTGCACTGGCCATGAGGGGTGACTGTCAATATACCATGCCTGCCTTTGATGGGTGGAGGAGCTGCTACCTAAACCAGACACCCCTTCTTCATTCTGGTGCAAAATGAGAATCAATGTTAGAGAGCCCAGAAAACACTCCACCTCTCCAAGAAATTTCAGTTCTATCCCAGGCAGCCAGCCTGCTGTCCCGCCAGCAAGAGGTCTCTGAGCATGGACAGACTGCTTTAGCTCCAACAAGAGAGAGAAATTTGCACAGACCTCTCGGAACCACCTTCCTCTTTGACTGCAGTCAAGTCTCTAGGGGGTAATTATGCATCGTTTGAAGATAAGGATGTGATAAGGACAATTCTTTCAATGAAAAAAGGGGTGTCTTGACACGTTGCTATTGTTCATCGAAAATATCCTCAACTGCTGTAAAATGTTTTAGCCCTGTGTGACGGGGGAAAAAGACCACCAGTTCTTCTTTTTTTTTGTTTTGTTAGCAGTAGCCTTAGCAAAAGCGATCTGCACAAAAACATCTCACATTGTGCTTTCCTAAAGCTTTATTTTGTGCAA